GCAACCTAGCAATGGTATCAGAGAGGATTGTGGGGCAATGAGAGATAGCGGTGACTGGAATGATGTACCATGTGAGAATCTCGCTCCTGTGATCTGCCAACGACCAGCACCACAGCTGTACTTTTAAGTAACATCAAACAGCTGGTTGCTAATCAAATTCAACAACCCTCCCCCCAAAAAAATAAAGAATGGAATCATATAGACAGTATTGCAAATATGCACTCGATTGATGGAACCATTTGGACAATGATGATTTTGGGGTATACAATTTGAGAAGATAAAAACACTTTAACAATATAATTATAATAATAAAATGCTGCTGCATATGGTACTTCTCATAGAATACATGTATCTTTGTAAGTTGTGCTCTTTGGAAAATAGTTTCACTTTTTTCTGAATGTTTCATTCACAGAAACCGTTGTGAAAATATGCAATTTAACCACTTTGACAATTACAAAGTTTGGGCACACAATTTGAGATGATGAAAAAAACAAGTCATTTTTTAAAAAAATCTTGTTGAAAGTCCTCACAGAAAACATTGTATGAGTGTATCGTTTTAAATTTGTCCTTGTGGAAAATATCATTATTATATATGTTTATTTCTTTTAGTTTCAGAACTTTTCAATTTTTGTTTCCTTCTATAAGATAATCCCAAATGAACAAGTAACAATTTCGATGCTGCAGTATTTAGTCAAGTTATATACTGAGTCTTTTATATATCTTTGATTGTGCAACACCCTTTTCTGAGTAGAGTATCTGTTTTCGTTAATTTCACAGATTTCTGTTTTTATCAAGACTTTTTCTCACTTTAATTTTAAAACCGGATCAGTTCTGCTACAGTGTTAACTTTGTAACATGAACCTCAAACAAACAGAACAAATGTTTAAAAATACCTTATGCACCACCAAATACAACATTATATTAACGCCAAGTTGTGCACTAATTCTGTGGTATAGAAATTACAGTTCTTGTTTAAACATCTGTAATACTTTTACACATTGTAATTGTGGATAACCAATAAAACATTTGCAACTTCAGACAACGATTAAGCATCAGCACGCACTGATTCCGGAAGTATTAACAAATCCCACAAATGTTCCTTTTTTTAGGGGGGGTTGGGTTTAGAAAACAAATTTGCTTGAATACGCCTATGGTCACATACGTTGTTGAAAATGTCCTTCGCCATCATTTTGTATTGGTGGGCAAACTTACACAAAATGACAAAATATAACGGAAGAAGCATACCCAATTTCATCCAAATTTGGCGTGCAGGTGTTGAAGTGTAGATCACGTGACTTCCCCTCTAGAATTACTGGCGTTTTGTCTATGTACAATTTAAACACTAAACATGCGCAACGTTTGTGCTGTCTGGCTTGTGGCATTGAAGTCACTCAAGAAATCTGAAACCTTTTAAATTTGGTCAACCACTTGATTAGCTTCTCAGCGCAGTAATGACATGTCACACACAAAGAAAGAAGCAGTAATTAGCGGCCCAGTTTGAAGCAGGCTTCATAACGGTGAGTCAATCTTCATTAACTCATACAACAAGTTTAAGATGAAATGCCTTGACTGATACAACGCACTAAAGACTAGCTGCACACCATCAATTAAAACTCCAAGTGAAGGGCGAGTGTCAAATTTCAACGAAATACTAACAACCCGAAGCAATCTAGTGAGATCACTGCTGAAATCATCTACCAGTCAGTAACTCAGCCAGTCACTTGATACAAAGTAGAAAATAACGACCCAGCAAAAGATGTGGAGCATCTGTGACAAAATTGCAGAAGCTTCATAAGAGTGAGTCCATCTTCATTAACCGAAACAACAAATCTCTGTTGAAGTCTGTTGGCCGATACAATGCATTGAAGATGAGTTGGGTCAAGCCAATATATAGCTTGACACATTTATTCAAAAGACTCAACTTGAAGGGCAGGTTTAATATTGGAAGAAAATATTGACGGTAGCTCTTGATGAGCATAATAGCTCCGGCAATAATAGGGTACAAACAGTAGCTGACAGTGAGAGCGTAGCTTCATATCTACACTGAGCACTAGTGAGGTAACATCTTGAAATGATGTTGCCAAAACGTCTCATCGTTGGCTTGATAAGCCTTCGTCTTATGATCAGATGTACTGGTGGTAATGAGAGGTGTGGTGCCTCCATTAGAGGGGCGTGTCCTCCTGCTTGGAGCCAGTGGGGTGACACATGCTACAAGCAACTCAGCGAGAATCTACCATGGGCTGAGGCAAAACAAGAGTGCATCAAGATGGGAAGTGTCTTGGTCATGCCACAGTCTCAGGAAGAAACTGAGTTCCTTCTCAAGAACCTGATCGACTACTTTTGGATCAACTGTAGTGATCAGCAAGTTGAAGGTTTGTCAACTAATGAATGAATAAATTCAATTTTCCAAGTTTTTCATAGGAAACAATTTTTTTCTCCTTTTGGAAAGGAAAGAAATGACATTGTTAAGATTTCAAACTTCAAACAAAAATGGTTCTCATTTCTTACAGCTTCACAGTAAACTTCTAACCAAATAACTAAAACCAGACATTAATATTCTCTGTGTGCCAGGTGCATGGGTGTGTCAAGATGGCACTACTGATGTGGAGTACAGAAACTGGAGGGATGGTGAACCTAGTAATGGCTGGGGAAAGGAAGATTGTGCAGCAGCGGGAGAATCTGGTTGGAATGACATTCCATGTGACGATCTCTCTCCTGTTATCTGCCAACGACCAGCACCACAGCTGCACTTTTAAGTGTCAACAAAAACACTGACTGCTCATCAAAAAATAAGTACACATAGTAATTTCTTTTCTTTGATTGTAAATTATATCCCTCAAAAAAGCAAGGTATCATGTAGACAGTACTGTGAATATGCAACTGATCAATTTAAGGCAATCATACATTTTGGGCAAACAGTTTTAGAAGATGCAAAACAATTTTAAAATATAATAATAAAAAAGATTGCTGAGGCATGAGGTACTCCGTATAGAATACTTAGTTCTAAACTAATGTCTTTTTGTAATTTGCGCTTGTTGGAAAATGGTTTCACCTATCTTTATTTTTCATTCAAGACAAATGTGTTGTCAACATATGCAACTGAACCACTTAGACAATCACAAAAATTTGGGCAAACAATTCGACATTATTGAAAAAAAGAACTTGTTTGTTTTAATAGTAGTCCTCATAGAATACATTGTGTGAATGTATCTATTTTAATTTGTGCTTGCGGAAATATTTTTAATTACAATTTTATTTCGTTCAACTTTAGAACTTTTCAATTTTCTTTTCCTTTTGTAAGATAGGCCTAATCTCAATCTAGTTTTAAACAAGTACATTTAAAACAAGCTAAGGACCTGGCCACCAGTTAACAACTGGCCAGCAGATATTTATTACAATTTCATTAATATCTTTCAGCCAAAAATTCAAATCAAGTCAAAAAATCACAAAGTTTCAATGATTTTGTTCAACATTTACTTCATGTTTTGTGAAAACACCCCTCTGACACGTTATGGCTGTTTAAATTTCACATTAATCGACATGTCAAAAAAGAGAAACTACTGAGAAAAAAAAGGCCTTTAAAGTATTGACTTTTGTATTCGTGAAAATGAAAGATACCAATTGTTTTTCCTTAAAAAATTTTATTCCACGATTTTTATGTTATTTCTCTAAATTACGTGTAGTTCACATATCAAAGATTACAAATATCAATAAAGGTGCACAAACAAAGTTCATTCCCATTTGATTTTTGCATTTTCTTCCACTAAGGCATGTCCAAAGTTCCGTCTCATTTTGCTAGAACGCCTCACATATAAAACTAGAAAAGCTATCGGCTACTTTGACTGATCAGGTCTGAGATGCAATATCTTACCAATGCTGCTTTGTAAGGAGGTGCACGTCATTTATTAGTTTTTGGCCTACAATGGGGATGCATACGTCTCCTACTGGTAATCATGGCAACAGAGGTAAATATACATGAGTTATATGGCTTCCAACTCACAAAGCAGAGTCTTGGAAATATGTCCAATTAGAAATTTCCTTTTGTGTCCGTTTGGTCAGAATAAATAAGGAGACTACATGTGGTTAATGAAAAGAAAATATTTACAGCATCGTCAAGCTCACTACTGCAATCACGGTTTGATGAGAGAAAAGAATCTTCATTTCACCACTGGAAACCAGTCTGGTAACATCTGATAAAGATGTTGCCTAAACGTCTCATCGTTGGCTTGATAAGCCTTTGTCTTATGATCAGATGCACTGGTGGTAATGAGAGGTGTGGGGCCTCCATTAGAGGGGTGTGTCCTCCTGCTTGGAGCCAGTGGGGTGACAAATGCTACAAGCAACTCAGCGAAAATCTACCATGGGCTGCGGCAAAACAGGAGTGCATCAAGATGGGCAGTGTCTTGGTCATGCCACAGTCTCAGGAGGAAACTGACTTCCTTCAGAAGAACGTGTACCACTGGTTCTGGATCAACTGCAATGATCTTCAAGTTGAAGGTTTGTAAACTTACATTGCTTAAACAATGAAGGAATTCTATTTTTCGAGATGTTCAAAGGAAACAATTTTTCTCTCCTATTGGAAAGGAAAGAAATTTTATTATTTACATTTCAAAGTTTAAACATACATACATGATTTTAAATTCTTAAAGCTTGACAGTAAAATTCAAGCCAAATAAAACTATTCTGTGTGTGTTTGTTAGGTGCATGGTTGTGTCAAGATAGCACTACTGATGTTGAGTACAGAAACTGGGGTGAGGGTGAACCTAGCAGCACCAGCGAAGATTGTGCAGTGGTGACAGATAACGGTGATTGGAATGATGTGTCATGTGACGATCGCTCTCCTGTCATCTGCAAACGACCAGCACCACAGCTGCACTTTTAAGTAACGCCAAACAACTGACTGCTAATCAAATTTAACACCCCTCCCCAAAAATTAAAGAATGAAATCATGTAGAAAGTATTGCAACTATTAAGTGATTGATAGAACCATTTGAACCATCATGAATTTTGGATATACAATGTGAGAAGATAAAAACACTTAAAAAAATGTTGTTCTCATAGAATACATGTATCTCCGTAATTTGTGCTCTTTGGAAAATAGTTTCACTTTTTTTCTGTATTTTTCATTCACAGAAACCATTGTGAAAATATGCAATTTAACCACTTGGACAAACACAAAGTTTGGGCACACAATTTGAGATGATGAAAAAAACAAGTATTTTTTTTAAAATCCTGTTGGCAGTCCTCACAGAAAACATTGTATGAATGTATCGTTTTAAATTTTTCCTTGTGGAAAATATTATTAATTATATGTTTATTTCTTTCAGTTTCTACATTTTTCAATTTTTGTTTCCTTCTATAAGATAATCTCAAATGAACAAGTAACAATTTCGATGCTGCAGTATTTAGTCAAGTTATATACTTAGTCTTTTATATATCTTTGATTGTGCAACACCCTTTTCTGAGTAAAGTATCTGTTTTCGTTAATTTCACAGATTTCTGTTTTCTCAAGTCTTTTTCTCACTTAAATTTAAAAACCAGATCAGTTCTGTTACAGTGTTAACTTCATAACATGAACCTCGAACAAACAGAACAAATGTTAGAAAATACCTTATGCACCACCAAATACAACATAATATGAACGCTAAGTTGAGTACTAATTCTGTGGTCTAGAGAAATTACTGTTCTTGTTTAAACGTCTGTATTACTATTACACGTTTTCATTTGGGATAACCAAAAAAATGTCTAGCAACTTCAGACAACGAATAAGCATCGGCATCCAGAGATTCAGGAAGCATTTAAAAATCCCACAAATATTTCTCTTTTTCTCGGGGAGGGGGGTTAAAAACAATTGCTTGAATACGCCAATGGTCACATATGTTGTTGAAAATGACCTTCGCCATCCTTTTGTATTGGTGGGCAAACTTACAAAGAAAGACGAAATATTGCCAAAGAAGCCTACCCAACTTTCACCAAAATTGGCGTGCAGGTATTGAAGTGTAGATCACGTGACTTCCCCTCTAGAATTACTGGCGTTTTGTCTATGTACAATTTAAACACTAAACATGCACAACGTTTGTGCTGTCTGGCCTGTGGCATTGAAGTCACTCAAGAAATCTGAAACCTTTTAAATTTGGTCAACCACTTGATTAGCTTCTCAGTGTAGTAATGACATGTCACACACAAAGAAAGCAGCAGTAATTTGCGGCAGAGTTTGAAGCAGGCTTCATAGCGGTGAGTCAATCTTCATTAACTGATACAACAAATCTAAGATGAAATGCCTTGACTGATACAACACACTAAAGACTAGCTGCGCGCCATCAATCAAAACTCCAATAGAAGGGCGAGTGTCAAATTTCAACGAAATACTAACAACCCAAAGCAATCTAGTGAGATCACTGCTGAAATCATCTACCAGTCAGTAACTCAGCCAGTCACTTGATACAAAGTAAAAAATAACGATCCAGCAAAAGAAGTGGAGCGTTTATCACCAATTGCAGAAGCTTCATAACAGCGAGTCCATCTTCATAAACTGAAATAACAAATCTCTGATGAAGTCTGTTGTCCGATACAATGCATTGAGGATGAGTTGCGTCAAGCCAATACGGCTTGATACATTTATTGGAAAGACTCAACTTGAAGGGCAGGTTTAATATTGGAAGAAAATATAGACAGTACCTCTTGATGAGCATAATAGTCCCTGCAATAATAAGGTACACTTAGTAGCTGACATTGAGAGTGTAGCTTCATATCTACACTGAGCACCAGTGAGGTAACATCTTGAAATGATGTTGCCAAAACGTCTCATCGTTGGCTTGATAAGCCTTTTGTCTTATGATCAGATGTACTGGTGGTAATGAGCGGTGTGGAGCCTCCATTAGAGGGGCGTGTCCTCCTGCTTGGAGCCAGTGGGGTGGCAAATGCTACAAACAACTCAGCGAGAATCTACCATGGGCTGAGGCAAAACAGGAGTGCATCAAGATGGGAAGTATCTTGGTTATGCCACAGTCTCAGGAGGAAACTGACTTCCTTCTGAAGAACGTGTACCACTGGTTCTGGATCAACTGCAATGATCTTCAAGTTGAAGGTTTGTCAAAATAGAACGCCTCAAAATTGCACGAGTTCTATTTCAATTTGTTAATGTGAAGGTTTGTCAACTGATTGTGTTTGAACAATTTCCAAGTTATTGATAGGAAACTATGTTTCTTTTCCTGCGGAAAGAGAGGTAATTTCAGTAAGTATTTCAAACTTTGAACAAGATGATTCTCAATCCTTAAAGCTTCACAGTAAAATTGAAGCCAAAATGAACTTGATACATGTATTTATATTCTCTGTGTGTTAGGTACCTGGGTGTGTCAAGATGGCACTACTGAAGTGGAGTACAGAAACTGGGGTAATTGGCAACCTAGCAATGGTATCAGAGAGGATTGTGGGGCAATGAGAGATAGCGGTGACTGGAATGATGTACCATGTGAGAATCTCGCTCCTGTGATCTGCCAACGACCAGCACCACAGCTGCACTTTTAAGTAACATCAAACAGCTGGTTGCTAATCAAATTCAACAACCCTCCCCCCAAAAAATAAAGAATGGAATCATATAGACAGTATTGCAAATATGCACTTGATTGATGGAACCATTTGGACAATGATGATTTTGGGGCATACAATTTGAGGAGATAAAAACACTTTAACAATATAATTATAATAATAAAGTGCTGCTGCATATGGTACTTCTCATAGAATACATGTATCTTTGTAAGTTGTGCTCTTTGGAAAATAGTTTCATTTTTTTCTGAATGTTTTATTCACAGAAACCGTTGTGAAAATATGCAATTTAACCACTTTGACAATTACAAAGTTTGGGCACACAAATTGAGATGATGAAAAAAACAAGTCATTTTTTTTAAAATCTTGTTGGTTGTCCTCACAGAAAACATTGTATGAATGTATCGTTTTAAATTTGTCCTTGTGGAAAATATCATTAATTATATGTTTATTTCTTTCAGTTTCAGAACTTTTCAATTTTTCTTTCCTTCGGTAAGATAATCCCAAATGAACAAGTAACAATTTCGATGCTGCAGTATTTAGTCAAGTTATATACTGAGTCTTTTATATATCTTTGATTGTGCAACACCCTTTTCTGAGTAGAGTATCTGTTTTCGTTAATTTCACAGATTTCTGTTTTTATCAAGACTTTTTCTCACTTTAATTTTAAAACCAGATCAGTTCTGCTACAGTGTTAACTTTGTAACATGAACCTCAAACAAACAGAACGAATGTTTAAAAATACCTTATGCACCACCAAATACAACATTATATTAACGCTAAGTTGTGCACTAATTCTGTGGTACAGAGAAATTACTGTTCTTGTTTAAGCATCTGTAATACTATTACACACTGTAATTGCGGATTACCAATAAAAATCTTGCAACTTCAGACAACGAATAAGCATCTGCATGCACTGATTCCGGAAGTATTAACAAATCCCACAAATGTTTCTCTTTTAGGGGGGTGGGGGGTTACAAAACAAAATTTGCTGGAATATGCCAATGGTCACACATGTTGTTGAAAATGTCCTTCGCCATCATTTTGTATTGGTGGGCAAACTTACACAAAATTACAAAATATTACCAAAGAAGCATCAACTTTTCACCAAATTTGGCGTACAGGTGTTGAAGTGTAGATCACGTGACTTCCACTCTAGAATTGCTGGCGTTATGTCTATGTACAACTTAAACACTAAACATGCACAATGCTTGTGCTGTCTGCCTGTGGTATTGAAGTCACTCAAGAAATCTGAAATCTATTATAAATTTTGTTGACCACTTGGTTGGCTTCTCAGTCACACACAAATAAAGTAGCAGTAATTTGCGGCCCAGTTTGAAGCAAGCTTCATAACAGTGAGTCAATCTTCATTAACTGATACAACAAAGCTAAGATGAAATGCCTTGACTGATACAACGCACTAAAGACTAGCTGCACACCATCAATCAAAACTCCAATTGAAGGGCGAGTGTCAAAATTCAACGAAATACTAATAACCCAAAGCAATCTAGTGAGATCACTGCTGAAATCATCTACCAGTCAGTAACTCAGCCAGTCACTTGATACAAATAACGATCCAGCAAAAGATGTGGAGCATTTGTGACAAAATTGCAGAAGCTTCATAACAGTGAGTCCATCTTCATTAACTGAAATAACAAATCTCTGATGAAGTCTGTTGGCCGATACAATGCATTGAGGATGAGTTGCGTCAAGCCAATACGGCTTGGCATATTTATTGGAAAGACTCAACTTGAAGGGCAGGTTTAATATTGGAAGGAAATATTGACGGTAGCTTCTGATGAGCATAATAGCCCCTGCGATAATAAGGTACACATAGTAGCTGACAGTGAGAGCGTAGCTTCATATCTACAGTGAGCACCAGTGAGGTAACATCTTGAAATGATGTTGCCAAAACGTCTCATCGTTGGCTTGATAAACCTTTGTCTTATGATCAGATGTACTGGTGGTAATGAGGGGTGTGGAGCCTCCATTAGAGGGGCGTGTCCTCCTGCTTGGATCCAGTGGGGTGACAAATGCTACAAGCAACTCAGCGAGAATCTACCATGGGCTGAGGCAAAACAGGAGTGCATCAAGATGGGAAGTGTCTTGGTCATGCCACAGTCTCAGGAGGAAACTGAGTTCCTTCAGAACCGCTTCAGTCCTCGGTTTTGGATCGACTGCAATGATCTTCAAAGGGAAGGTACTTACAATGTGTATTCGTTGTAGAACCCTCTTTGTTCAACTACTCAAAGTATACGGGTCTAGATGAATGAGAGATACATTAGACAGTGGAAAATTGAAAAAGTTCATATTTTTGTTGATGCATTTCACACACAAATTTATATTCTGCAATTCTTTTTTAGGTTCATGGGAGTGTTGCGAGGGTACCCGGATCGTGACCTTCAGGAACTGGATCCCTGGGCAACCAGATAATTTCTTGGGCTACAGCAACGCTGGAGAGGATTGTGCCGTCGTCTGGACAACAATGGGCCAATGGAATGACAACACTTGCAAATGGGAACAACCCGCAGTGTGCACGCAGCCTGCACCCAAACTACACCTTTGAAACTTACAGTGGAAAACCATCACCCAAAAACAGAGACACTCTCAATCCGACTTTCATTGTTGTTCTACAATTAGCAATAATCACGAAGACAAAAACGATTCAGTTATCTTGCAAGACATTTGTTAGTCAGTTTGAACACATCCATAATACCATATTCTGCCATGCAGTCATTTGAAAAGTCTGCACGGCACAGTCACTCTTGAAACAAATCTAAATATTACATCTCAAAAGATCTCTTTTAGATACAGCCTAGTGAAAAATGACAAAGTAGTAGCTAACACAGTAAAATAATTCCCAAAAGGAAGAAGATAGTGGCAGTGTGAACATACTTGATCTTTTAGTGTTGCTATAAATGAGCAATTTCACTTCTGTCTTTTAAATTAACAAGCAAGAATTGTAACTAAAGATTCTCAAACAGATAATTCTGTAGTATAGAGAAATTGCTATTCTTGTGTAAACCTCTGTTTTACTATTTGGTGGAGTTGATCGCTTGTGTAGGCTCAATATGTAAATACTTTAAATGCACAGCATCATTTTTGTTAAAATCATTACTGCAATTTTTTTCTCCTTCGTTCAATGTTATCGTTGCTTTATTTGTGGTTAATAAAGCCTGAGATGAAATCTCTTGCATTGGTACAATGATCTATGAGGAGTTTTGGGCCTAAACTTTGGATTGAAATACATCTCCAGATTATTGGCATTGATGACTGAGGGAGGCGGTTTATTCCTGTTGAATTGTTGATGGATAAATGCTTGGACTGTAGATCTTACTATTGGTAGTATGTCGGTAGTATGAGAACTGGCAAGGCCTTCAATGTGATCAATACTCGGCCTTCACTAAATTAATAGCCACTAATTTTTACTGCATGTGGTCTGTATAGAAGTAAAATGATGGTAACCATGGCAATTCCAGTCAATAAAAATCGTATACGTGTTTCAAATTCACATGGGAAAGGCTAGCCAATGTTTGCAATTGAAACATTCTCTTTGTGTGTGTTGGGGCAGATTAAATTGAAGGCACCTCAAGCGAGCTAAACTACAATATAGAATAGATGATAATAATACCCTTCATTTCACCACTTGTTACCATTCCGGTAACATCTGAAAAAGATGTTGTCTGAACGTCTCGTCTTTGGCTTGATAAGCCTTTGTCTTATGATCAGATGTACTGGTGGTAATGAGAGGTGTGGGGCCTCCATTAGAGGGGCGTGTCCTCCTGCTTGCAGTTTCCTTTTGTAAGATAAACTCAATTGGAAATGTAACAATTTGATGGCATGAAATAAATGAAAATCTGATGCTGCAGTATTTAGTCAAGACCTAGTTATTTGTTATATCTTTGCTTATGGAGCACTTTTCTCAGAATTGTTTGTCTAATTCTTTCAATTTTACCTTCTTTCAAGTCTTTTTCTCATTTTCATTTTAAATAAAATCAGTTCTGTTACAGTGTTAACTTGGTAATATGAACCCAATGCATTCACTGATATAGCTACTAAGGGAATAAATATGTGCTTGGCCGTTTTTAACCAAGTACGTTCAATACCAGCTAGGGACCTGGTCACCAATTTTGAACGTACTTGTTTGAAACCATCCAAGCAGATATTTATTCCCATTTCATAAATACCTTTTTGGTCAAAAATTCAAAACAAGTCAACAAATTCACTAAATTCTAACAATCTTGTTCTACAATTTACTTCATGTTTTGTGAAACATCCTTCTGGTCATGTCTACAGAATGTGCCTCACGCGCGGGGTGCTAAAACAGATACGTTTTATTTTTTAGCATAAATAGCATTGGCATTGAGAAGGGACAGGATATTTATTGTCATTGAATTATCAAAAAAGGAGGCCAAGGTTTATATAAGTATCATGTTCACGTTCTGAACAACCAGATATTACCAACCAAATGTTATGCGAGATGCAATGATATTGACTTGCAATGTCCCACCTTAGAAAGCTCTGACAAAGACTTCTGTTTTCCGTTGTCATAGTAACCAACCTCTTTCAATGTCCATAAACATAGTGAATTTTGTATCAATGGAGTTCTGCGGGCAGAATGAAATTCGCAGAGCAGTTTATCGATTAATTTCACCAGAAATATATGAAGTGTGAATTCTTTTTGTATCCACTGGCGCAACACTAATAATGTGAACACTTTAAAATTAACTGCCATACAGCTTCCATTGTAGCACTGCAGACTGACGTCTGAGAAAGGGGTATGCAATGCGCATTTTACCACCAGGCACCAGTCTGGTAACATCTGAAAAAGATGTTGCCTAAACATCTTGTCGTTGGCTTGATAAGCCTTTGTCTTATGATCAGATGCACTGGTGGTAATGAGAGGTGTGGAGCCTCCATTAGAGGGGCGTGTCCTCCTGCTTGGAGCCAGCGGGGTGACAAATGCTACAACAACTCAGCGAGAATCTACCATGGGCTGAGGCAAAACAGAAGTGCATCAAGATGGGGAGTGTCTTGGTCATGCCACAGTCTCAGGAAGAAACCAAGTTCCTTCAGAGCTGCTTAAGTCCTCAGTTTGGGATTGATTGCAATGATCTTCAAACGAAAGAGTGGCAGTGTGTAGATACTTGATCTTTTAGTGTTGCTATAAATGAGCAATTTCACTTCTGTCCTTTAAATTAACAAGCAAGAATTGTAACTAAAGATTCTTGAACAGATAATTCTGTGTTACAGAGAAATTACTATTCTTGTTTAAACTTCTGTTTTACTATTTGGTGGAGTTGATCACTTGTATAGGCCAAACATGTAAATACTTTAAATGCACAACATCATTTTTGTTAAAATCATTACTGCAAATTTTGTCTCTTTTGTTCAATGTTATCGTTGCTTTATTTGTGGTTAATAAAGTTGGAGATTACATCTCTTGCATTGGTACAATGCTTCATGAGGAGTTGTGTGTCATCAATGAGTTTTGGGCCTAAACTTTGGATTAAAATACATCTCCAGATTATTGGCACTGATGACTGAGGGAGGCGGTTTATTCCTGTTGAATTGTTGATAGATAAATGCTTGTACTGTAGATCTTACTATTGGTAGTATGTCAATGGTATGAGAACTAGCGAGGCCTTTTATGTGATCTTGTTTGTATCATGAGGGTATACAGAAACTTACAATAGCTCTATAACTTCACAACATACCACTAAGATATTCAGCATCATAAAGTAAGTTTTTATAGCCCTAACAGTCCTGAATCCTCTAATTTGAATTTGATTTTTTTGGGTACAATCCAATGATTAATATCGTATTTTCTGAAGACTCTGCAAAATGCAGTACATGTACCTTGTATATTCCAACCATGAGCCCTGCGCCTCTATTCATGGAGCAATACAAAAGATTCTATGGATCAATATTCAGCCTTCACTTTCTAACAAGAGACTACATTTTATTGGAAGTGGTCCATATAGAAGTAAACTTACGGTAACCATGGCAATTCCAGCAAATAAGTATCAGATACGTGTACCAATGGCACATGGGAAAGGCACGCTAACGGGTCCAATTTAAAAATTCTATTTACGTGCATTGGGGCAGAATTAATTGAAGGCATCGTCAAGCGCAATAAACTACAATTACGGATAGATGACAATAATTACCTTCTTTAAACCACTCGTTACCAGTCTGGTAACATGCGAAAAAGATGTTGCCTAAACATCTCATCATTGGCTTGATAAGCCTTTGTCTTATGATCAGATGCACTGGTGGTAATGAGAGGTGTGGGGCCTCCATTAGAGGGGCGTGTCCTCCTGCTTGGAGCCAGTGGGGTGACAAATGCTACAAAAAAGGGAGCGAGAATCTACCATTGGCTGAGGCAAAACAGGAGTGCATAAAGATGGGAAGTGTCTTGGTCATGCCACAGTCTCAGAAGGAAACTGAGTTTCTTTAGAACAACATGCACAGTTATTTGTTATATCTTTGCTTATGGAGCACCTTTCTCAGAATTTTTTGTCTAATTCTTTCAATTTCACCTTATTTCAAGTCTTTTTCTCATTTTCATTTTAAATAACATCAGTTCTGTTACAGTGTTAACTTGGTAATATGAACCCAATGCATTCACTGATATAGCTACTATGGGAATAAATATGTGCTTGGCCGTTTTTAACGAAGTACGTTCAATACCAGCTAGGGACCTGGTCACCAATTTTGAATGTACTTGTTTAAAACCATCCAAGCAGATATGTATTCCCATTTCATGAATACCTTTTGGTCTAAAATTCAAAGCAAAAGATTCACAAATTTCCGGCGATTTTGTTCGACAATTTACTTCATGTTTTGTGAAACACCCTTCTGGCCATGTCTATAGTATGCGCGTCGCGAGTGGTGCTAAAAACGGATACGTTTTATTTTTAGCATTAATAGCATTGGCATTGAGAAGGGACAGCATATTTAATGTCATTGATTTATCAAAATAAAAGTAGGCCAAGGTTATCAGTATCATGATCACGTTCTCAACAACTAGATATTACCAACCAAATATTACGCGAGATGCAATGACATTGACTTGCAATGTCCCACCTTAGTAAGCTCTGTTTTCCGTTGTCATAGTAACCAACCCCCTTTCAATGTCCATAAACATTGTGAATTTTGTATCAATGGAGTTCTGCGGGCAGAATGAAATTGGCAGCGCAGTTTATCGATTAATTTCACCAGAAATATATGAAGTGTGAATTCTTCTTGTATCCACTGGCGCAACACTAATATTGTGAACACTTTAAAATTAACTGCCATACAGCTTCCATTGTAGCACTGCAGAATGACGTCTGAGAAAGGAGTACGCAATGCGCATTTTACCACCAGGCACCAGTCTGGGAACATCTGAAAAAGATGTTGCCTATACGTCTTGTCGTTGGCTTGATAAGCCTTTGTCTTATGATCAGATGCACTGGTGGTAATGAGAGGTGTGAGGCCTCCATTAGAGGGGCGTGTCCTCCTGCTTGGATCCAGTGGGGTGACAAATGCTACAAACAAGGCAGTGAAGATCTACCATGGCTTGAGGCAACACAGGAGTGCATCAAGATGGGAAGTGTCTTGGTCATGCCACAGTCTCAGGAGGAAACTGAGTTTCTTCTGAAGAACCTGAACGACAAGTTTTGGATAAACTGCAATGATCTTCAAGTTGAAGGTTTGTCAACTTATATTTCTTTAACACTGACTGAATTCTGTTTCCAAGTTGTTCACAATCTTTCTTTCCTTTTGGAAGGGAAATTAATTTCATTATCAACATTTCAAACTTCAAAACATACATGCTTCTCAATTCTTAAAGCTCAAAGTAAAATTCAATCCAAATAAAACCACTCATAAGCATTCTCTGTGTGTGTGTTAGGTACATGGGTGTGTCAAGATGGCACTACTGATGTGGAGTACAGAAACTGGAGGGTGGAGCCTGCTGAACCTAATAATTTCGAGGGAGGAGAAGATTGTGCAGTAGCAAAAGAGACTGGTTGGAATGATGTACCATGTGAGACTCATGTTCCCACTATCTGCAAACGACCTGCACCACAGCTGCACCTATAAAGGGCCCATGTAATGTAATGTTTTGGATGCAATCCTCGAAAATGCACCTTTGTGTCCCACTTAGCCTTATTATGGTCCGTTTTTATGCTAATGCAAATTTACATATTCATAAGCAAAAGTTTGATGTCATTTCAGGCAGAAACCTCCATTTTATTGCTATTTCAGCAACCAAACGTTACCAGAATTGTGGACATGTTGCGGTCCTAAATGTTCTTTTCTTTGATGATTCATTGCTATTTCAGTTCAAGACAGTAAGCCAATGAGCAAACTTTCGCACAAATATTTCGGTACGCAAAAATGTTTTGGGTCACAATTGGAACAGAAATCCCCTAAAACTTACACAAACAGTGCCTAATGTTTAAGAAGGGTCCTTTTCAATAAAATAACAATATAAGAATGTCAAACAGTTTTCATGCATTTCTAAGATGTAGAAAGTTGCACAAACATGTTCCCGTGTAACATTCATCTCATGGTCTTCTTATATGGCAATACAAATTTTGATTTCTAATCAAAAAGTAAAACTCACAAAGTTAGTTATTTATTTAATGAAATAAAATTTAAAGGTACCATGTAGAAGGTAAATTGTACAGTTTAAACCACTGTAAGATATTGGGCAAAAATTTGGTTTTCTTTCAATAGCCACGTTGATGGTAGTCCTTATAGAACACTAGAGAATTTACGATAATTTTGCTGTGGAATTAACTCTTGTTTTACTATTTATTTATCTTTCTTTCAATTTCAGAGATTTTCAATTTTCATTTTAGTTCCTCATTTCAACTAACAGTGTTGCCTGGGCAATACGAGCCAATGTATCAATTGGCCACACAGATGTTTGCTTTCAAAATGTAAATGTAGCATTTGATTGTTAAGGAAGCTGACTGGCAAAAATTATTAACTTCTCCACTCCAAAAAAATGGGCAATATTCATTAGGGCTATATGACTTGGTTTGACAGGAATTGTGATTAGTTCAAAACTTGTTCGGTTCTGGGTCCAAGGCAAAAACAGGACTTTAAGTCCATTTCAGTCCAAAAGTGAAAGTGAAAAAAAGAGGAAAAAAATACAGAAAAAAACTTGTATCAGATATTTTGCTGGATTTCAAAGTATGTTCCTGGAAATAAAGTTTGACTTGTCTCTTAAACTACCAATATTTTAATGTGTGTATAGTACTCAGAATGCATGGACACCTTTATGATGTTTTTGGGTAGAATCCAAAAACAAATTTGGCATTTTCTGATGACTCTACAAAACGCAGTATCGGAACCTTGTATATTCCAACCATGAGCCTACGCCTCCATTCAATTCTTTGGATCGATGCTTACAGTTGGCCTTCGCTTTTATAAACAAGCAAGTATTTTTGAAAGGAAGTGCTCTGAATGGAGATGAAATTGTCGTAACCATGGTATTTCAGGTAAATATCAATACCAGATGCGTGCTGCAAAGGCACGTAGGCTTGCTAACTTGTCCAATTAAGAAATTCTTTTTGTGTCCATTGGGGCAGAATAAATAAAGAGAGTAGTTAATGAAAAGAAAATATTGACTGCATTGTCAAGCTCACTACTGCAATCACCGATTGATGAGAGAAAAGAATCTTCATTTCACTACTGGGCACCAGTCTGGTAACATCTGAAAAAGATGTTGCCTAAACGTCTCATCGTTGGCTTGATAAGCCTTTGTCTTATGATCAGATGCACTGGTGGTAATGAGAGGTGTGGGGCCTCCATTAGAGGGGCATGTCCTCCTGCTTGGAGCCGGTGGGGTGACAAATGCTACAAGCAACTCAGCGAGGATCTACCATGGGCTGAGGCAAAACAGGAGTGCATCAAGATGGGAAGTGTCTTGGTCATGCCACAGTCTCAGGAGGAAACTGAGTTCCTTCTGAAGAACCTGGCCCCCTTCTTTCGGATCAACTGTAATGATCTTCAAGTTGAAGGTTTGTCAACTTATATTGCTTTAACAATGAATAAATTCTATTTTCCAAGACATTCATATGAAACCGTTTTTTTTTTTATTCTGGAAAGGAAAGTCATTTCATTATTAACATTTCAAACTTCATACAAACATGGTTTTCACGTCTTCAATTCCAACCAAATAAAACCAGACATTAATATTCTGTGTGTGTGTCAGGTACATGGGTGTGTCAAGATGGCACTACTGATGTGGAGTACAGAAACTGGAGGGAGGAGACTGGTGAACCTAATAATGGCGCGGGAGGAGAGGATTGTGCAGTGACAGACAAATCTGGTTGGAATGATGTATCATGTGAGTTTCATGCTCCCACTATCTGCAAACGGCCTGCACCACAACTGCACTTTTAAATGGCAACAAAAAGACTCACTCCTCACAAAAAGTAAAGCTCAGAAACCAACTTAATTAATTAAATAAAAAAATTGAAGGAAATCATGTAGAAAGCATTGTGAATAGGCAATTGAACTCTTTGAACCATCGTAGCTTCTGGACAAAAAAATTGGAAAAAATGGTTTCGTTGATGGTAGTCCTTAGAAAATACTTGAGAAACAAAATGTGGAAACAATTGTTTTTTATTTGTTTATTTATCTTTGTTCATTTTCACAGATTTTCAATTTAGTTCCTCATTTTCAATGTCCAGTGTTGCCTGGACAACCAATGTATCAATTGGCCACACACATTTTTGCTTTTAAATTTGAATTTAATTTTGAATTCATGTATTTCCTTTCCAAGCTTTGAGAGATCACACTGGTCACATAGTATTTATCACAAAAATTCAAACATAAAATGTATTATGTACAATGTAGTTGATGAAGTGTAATGAATAATTAATCAATTAAATCATTGGGGGCAATTGGATATGTGGTAGCCATGCAACAAACGGTAAATACAATATGCAAAATCTGATGCTGCAGTACTTAGCCCAAGGGTACAAAATACTCAAAAGTCAAATATCTTTGCTTGTGGAGCCATGTTTTTCTGAGTTAGTAGAATAATTCTTTCAATTCTTTATCTCACTTTTAATTTCAGCCAAATCAGTATACTGTGCGTGTTATGATGCACCTTGGTAGTATGAACCTACCGGTTGTCTTGGTCCAAAACCAGATTTGGATTTTTATTTCCCGTATAGTACAGACCGTCCGTGACAAGCGAGGTCAATACCAACAAGATGAATCAAATCCAGTCTTTGCAATATTGGCAACGCTACCCAGGGCATTCCGACCATACCTCACGCGCGCTGTATTCAAGCAAATGCATGCATGTGAGGTATGCTTCGCATTTCCTGGGAAGCGCTGCCAATATTTCCAAGACTGGATTTGGTTCATGTTGTTGATAGAGACCTCCACCGCTGCCTCAACTTAACCACGTTTGTCACGGGACTGGATGCAAAATAAGGGAATAAAAATTCCACCTCAGTCTGGGATTAAGACCAGTATGAACCTAATGCATGAAGATGGGTACCATGATTTAATACATATGTTTTTTAGATTACCAACTGAATTGTCACACTGTATTGTTGTTAACAATTTCAATCTAATTTAGACTCACATTGTTGAAAAATAACAAGTTCTATTGTGCAAAGCTATACTTTTTCAGTTCAATAATAGACATATATAATAGCGCATAATTTCATTGTTTGACTAATGTCCATTTTTTAGTGCAGTTGATCATTTGTGTAGGCTTTGTGACTTTAAATGCACAACTTTAATATTTGCTGAAATTCACAGCATATTTGTACTAAACAGTTGTTCTTTTTGCTCGATGTTGTCTTTGCTTTATTTGTGGTTAATAAAGTCGGAGATGAAAACTCTTGCACTGGTACAATGCTTCATGAGGAGTTGTGCGTCGTCCATGAGTTTGTGGCCTAAACTTTGGATTAAATTACGTCTCCAGATTAGAGGCATTGATGACTGAGGGAGGCGGTTTATTCCTGTTGAATTGTTGATGGATAAATGCTTGGACTGTAGATCTTACTATTGGTAGCATGTCGGTGGTTAGCCCCATAAATGTGGCGTATTTACTGGACTGCCTCCGTAAACATAGGCCACACATCCACATGTACAAAAATCGTGTCGACTTTGCCAAATTTTGATTTTCACATTTAGGATTAGTTTGTAGGATTTTTTTGCTTTAGAAGCATACTCACCCTCTTTATAGGCTAGTCAGCAAGTGCTGCCTTTTTCAGATGTCTAATTTTTGTGAAATTTCATGTTGAAATTTTGATACGCAAACGTGTAAAAATGAATCTGGAAATTTCACGAAAAATATACATCTGAAAAAGGCAGCACTTTCTGATTAGCCTATAAAGAGGGTGGGTATGCTTCTAAAGCAAAAAAAACCTACAAACTAAGCCTAAATGTGAAAATCAAAATTTGGCAAAGTCGACACGATTTTTGTACATGTGGATGTGTGGCCTATGTTTACGGAGGCAGTCCAGTAAATAGGCCACATTATGGGGCTAGTCGGTGGTATGAGAACTGGTGAGGCCTTCTATGTGATCTTGTTTGTATCATGAGGGTATACAGGAACTAACAGGAGCTCTATAACTTCACAACATACCACTAAGATATTCAGCATCATGAAGTAAAGTTTTTATAGCCCTAACAGTCATGAATCCTCAAATTTTAATTTGATTTTTGGGGCACAATCCAATGATTGATATCGCATTTTCTAAAGACTCTGCAAAATGCATTACATGTACCTTGTATATTCCAACCATGAGCCCTGCGCCTCTATTCATGGAGCAATACAAAAGATTCTATGGATCAATATTCAGCCTTCACTTTCTAACAAGAGACTATATTTTATTGGATGTGGTCTGTATAGAAGTGAGATTTTGGTAACCATGGCAATTTCAGTAAATAAGAATCAGATACGTGTTCCAAATTCACAAGGGAAAGGCTAGCTAATGTGTCCAATTGAAACATTCTCTTTGCGTGCATTGGGGCAGAATAAATTCACGGCACGTCAAGCGCTTTATAACTACAATAAAAGATAGATGACAATAATACCCTTCATTTCACCACTGAGAACCAGTCTGGTAACATCTGAAAAAGATGTTGCCAAAACGACTCATCATTGGCTTGATAAGCCTTTGTCTTATGATCAGATGCACTGGTGGTAATGAGAGGTGTGGGGCCTCCATTAGAGGGGCGTGTCCTCCTGCTTGGAACCAGTGGGGTGACAAATGCTACAAGAAACTCAGCAAGAATCTACCATGGGCTGAGGCAAAACAGGAGTGCATCAAGATGGGCAGTGTCTTGGTCATGCCACAGTCTCAGGAGGAAACTGACTTCCTTCTGAAGAACGTGCACCACTGGTTCTGGATCAACTGCAATGATCTTCAAGTTGAAGGTTTGTCAAAATAGAACGCACCCAAATTGCACGAGTTCTATTTCAATTTGTTAATGTGAAGGTTTGTCAACTGATTGTGTTTGAACAATTTCCAAGTTATTGATAGGAAATAATGTTTCTTTTCCTGTGGAAAGAGAGGTAATTTCAGTAAGTATTTCAAACTTTGAACAAACATGATTCTCAATCCTTAAAGCTTCACAGTAAAATTGAAGCCAAAATGAACTTGATACATGTATTTATATTCTCTGTGTGTTAGGTACATGGGTGTGTCAAGATGGCACTACTGACGTGAAGTACAGAAACTGGGGTAATTGGCAACCTAGCAATGGTATCAGAGAGGATTGTGGGGCAATGAGAGATAGCGGTGACTGGAATGATGTACTGTGTGAGAATCTCTCTCCTGTAATCTGCCAACGACCAGCACCACAGCTGTACTTTTAAGTAACATCAAACAGCTGGTTGCTAATCAAATTCAACAACCCTCCCCCCAAAAAATAAAGAATGGAATCATGTAGACAGTATTGCAAATATGCACTTGATTGATGGAACCATTTGGACAATGATGATTTTGGGGCATACAATTTGAGAAGATAAAAACACTTTAACAATATAATTATAATAATAAAATGCTGCTGCATATGGTACTTCTAATAGAATACATGTATCTTTGTAAGTTGTGCTCTTTGGAAAATAGTTTCATTTTTTTCTGAATGTTTCATTCACAGAAACCGTTGTGAAAATATGCAATTTAACCACTTTGACAATTACAAAGTTTGGGCACACAATTTGAGATGATGAAAAAAACAAGTCATTTTTTAAAAAAATCTTGTTGGAAGTCCTCACAGAAAACATTGTATGAGTGTATCGTTTTAAATTTGTCCTTGTGGAAAATATCATTAATTATATGTTTATTTCTTTCAGTTTCAGAACTTTTCAATTTTTGTTTCCTTCTATAAGATAATCCCAAATGAACAAGTAACAATTCGAGGCTGCAGTATTTAGTCAAGTTATATATACTTAGTCTTTTTTATATCTTTGATTGTGCAACACCCTTTTCTGAGTAAATTATCTGTTTTCGTTAATTTCACAGATTTCTGTTTTATCAAGACTTTTTCTCACTTTAATTTTAGAACCAGATCAGTTCTGCTACAGTGTTAACTTCGTAACATGAACCTCGAACAAACAGAACAAATGTTAGAAAATACCTTATGCACAACCAAATACGACATTACATTAACGCTAAGTTGTGCACTAACTCTGTGGTATAGAGAAATTACTGTTCTTGTTTAAGCATCTGTAATACTATTGCACATTGTAATTGCGGATTACCAATAAAACTCTTCAGACAACGAATAAGCATCTGCATGCACTGATTCCAGAAGAATTAACAAATCCCACTAATGTTTCCTTTTTTTTGGTGGATTAGAAAACAAAGTTGCTTCAATACGCCTATGGTCACATATGTTGTTGAAAATGTCCTTCGCCGTCATTTTGTATTGGTGGGCAAACGTACAAAAAAATGATATATTACGGAAGAACTTTAACCAAAATTGACAAGCAGGTGTTGAAGTGTAGATCACGTGACTTCCCCTCTAGAATTGCTGGCGTTATGTATATGTACAATTTAAACACTAAACATGCACATTGCTTGTGCTGTCTGGCCTGTGGTATTGAAGTCACTCAAGAAATCTGAAACCTTTCAAATTTGGTCAACCACTTGATTAGCTTCTCAGCGTAGTAATGACATGTCACACACAAAGAAAGAAGCAGTAATTTGCGGCCCAGTTTGAAGCAAGCTTCATAACGGTGAGTCAATCTTCATTAACTGATACAACAAATCTAAAATGAAATACCTTGACTGATACAACACACTAAAGACTAGCTGCACACCATCAATTAGTGATATGCAGAAAATGTTTCGATACAAACTCCAATGGAAGGGTGTCAAATTCAACGAAATACTAACAACCCAAAGCAATCTAGTGAAATGACTGCT